TCATTCATAAATTGGAACACACAACCAAAGACCGTCAGAAACTGGAAGAAAATTTATAGCACAAAAGGGAAAAATCACAATAAACAGAGAAACTGACTCCCTTCTCCAGAGAAAACAAAAATTTCTGTAACAGAAAAGAACTTACAAAGTATTGTAATTAGTTTCTTCAGAAAGTTTTGAGGAAGTAGTATTTACAGAAAATAAGCATTATACAGAAAAAGTTTCTGGTGTTTTCAAAAATTGCTAAAATCAAAATCATGAAGTTATTATAAGTAAGTAAAAATGCCAGTAGAAGGATGTCAGGAAAAGCCACTGAACTCTCCTAAAGCTTAGAAAAAGGTAAGAAGACAGAAATTAACAGGGAAAAACTAAACAATATCAACAATTCCAGAGAGAAATAAAATACCTGCAAAGAAATAAAGATCAGCTTGGCCTCATAGTTCCTAGAAATTTGACTTTAGAAGATAGAAATGTAACACCGTCAAAGTTCTGAAGGGAAGCACAGTACTTTACCACAGTACCCTCTCTCATGAAATTACTAGATTGTTTGCCATCAAACGACAGAAAGAGAGCAATGCAAGAAATAATGGAACATGCCAAGATGTGCAATAAAAAGAAATTTCAGAATAACAACTGTACAGCTGTCTTAAAAGAAGTCAGTACAAAATTGATCCCAGCAAACAGTATGATTAAGCTAGATAATCTTAGGTAATATGGAAAAAGACATATACTGGTTCCATCAATGAGGGAAAAAAAGGCAAGAACTCTTAAGAAGAAGGGGGGGAAAAGTCTCTATGAGAAAGTCAGGGCCCAAGTAGGAATCTAAGCAAATGGCATGATTTTGAGCGATAGATGCAATGTAAGAAAAAGAATCCAGTTGAACTTGATACCTAAAACATTTTCCTTTGAATATCACAGGTTCCTTTTCTGTGGACCTAATCACACTCTCTGCTCTGCAGTGAACAGTATTTATAAATCATTAAACAGTAGTGCAAATAACCCTGCTGACCAATCACAGAAGGACAGTTAGAGAACAGAGAAAAGCAGAACCAAAAGCTAGAGAAATGACATGTGAAAGTCAAGTCCAAACAATAAGAGCAGACTCTTAATAGGAGGCGGAGCCAGCAATCAGGAGGCAGACAAGAGAACGTGGTAAGGACCAAGCCAGATTTCAAGATGACTTAATCCTAACAAAGGATCCCATTTTGTAGTGACAAGTTTTTCTGGTTCTTGTATGTTATGTTGGTTTATTTTTATTTGCTTTGTCAATTTGCAAATTGGGATTTTGTGAATCACAGACATTTCATTGTAATAGTAACATCAACTGGGGAAGGACAATTTATGCCAAAAATGTAGGTAAAAGAAATATTAAAATATTTTCATGGTAAGGAAGATTCAGTATCATAAAAGCCAGTTCTAAGTTGTTGTTTTTTTAATTCAACATAAACCCACCCCATCCCTAAGAACATAGCCCAAAAAAACCCTCAATCATTAAACGTTAAAACAGTGTGACATGGGTGCATGAATAGACAATTGGAATAGAATTTAAAAGTCCAGAAATAAATCATACACTTATGGAAATTCAGTATATGATAAAGATAACATCTCAAATCAGAGGAAAACATTGTCTCTTTAGTACATGATGTTGTTATTACAGAATAGCCAAGGGGGGAAAAATGCTGAATCCACACCTTTCACCATAAGCCAGGATAAACTTCAAACAGATCAAAGATCTAAGTGTTTGAAGAAGAAAAGAAAAAGAAACCATAAAGTAACTTGAGGAAAATGGAAGAAGGAAACATGGGAAGACCATAAAATTAAGGATTGCCATGTTCAGCTACATCACAACCAGAAAGTTCTGCACAGGAAAAAAACAAAACAAAATAAAAAGCATAAACAAAGTCAAAAAAAAGATTAAAAGGGAAGAAAAACTGCTGTTCATATTACAGACAAGAGCTAATGTCTCTAACATGTAAAGAGCGCCTTGAAATGTAAAAGAAAATGACCAGTCACCCAGTAGAAAACTGAGCCAAGGATATCAACAAAAAAGGAAATACCCTTAAACAACTGAAAAGCTGCCCACCCTTACAGTAGGAGAAATGCAAAATAGGCATACCCAAACATTTATCAGACTGGCAAAAATCCAAAAAGGTAACACAGACATACATTTTATCAATTAGGAAACTGAAGCTCGTTCAATCAGAGTAGATTGCTTAAGTTTACACAGTTAATAACAGAGTCAGGAATAGATGTGTCTTTGACTTCTAACCTCATACTAAAATATCTCCACTACCTATGCTTGGCTGTCTGTGTGCTCAGTCTGTGGTGGTATTGTGGATACTATTTGATGTTAAAGTGGAATTTTCTTTGTTCAAATTTACAATTGATATAAAAGAGATCATCTATATGACCAAACATAATAAAACTGAACAGAATTGTTCTGCATGTTATTTTGGTGTCCATTGTAGCTGTGTATTATCCTAATAGGAATTTTACAGAATTCTGTTGCTTTTTCAGTGTTCTTTACTTAGATTTCAAAAACCCATGCTAACACTGTATAATACTATCAGATGAACAAAAGTGGTACTGTGACAGCACGCTAAGTTGGGGTGATCCTAGTCTAAATAAAGCAAACCTGTGAATTTCCCTTCTGTCTCCTGACCAGCATCAGGGGTGATCTGCTTCCTGTAACTGTTCCTATACGAGCAGCAGGTGAAGCCAAAGAGAACAAAACTATGGCCTCCTCTTGGGCACTCAGGAGCCAAAGCCCTCTGCCTGGTACCCCACCAACTCCTTCCTTTTCCTCCTCCTCAGCCTTGCTCTCCCTCCCTTCCCTTCTGCCAGGAGGTATGATCCCCTTGACCTTATTTATCTGTAATAGAGTGGTAGGTTGTGATAGAGGAAATTTTTGCTTATTATTTTATTTTCTCTTCATGCCAAGGCACAAAAGTTACGGCTAGTAAAAAGAGGTTCTTTCAGATAAAAAGTGTTTTTTTGGTAGGCTGAGAGACCGTCATCTCCCCTCTCCCCTGTACTTATCGTGTGGTAAGTAAAGAAGGAGCTGAAATCTACCATAACACAAGACATGTTTAACATTAAATCAGTGGTATATACTTCACTAAAGGGAAGCATGTAAATGAAGTAACGATCTCAAAAGCAATGAGTCCTCAAAAGGGTCAAATAAAAGTGTATCAGATTGGCAGTTTCTGAAGGTAGACACATCCTCATGTGCATTGGCCAAGCCAGTCCTTTCTCAGTCCTGCAGAAATGAGAAAGTGGATTCTGGCACCATTTCTTCCAGCTCCTCTCTTGGCCCTGAGGTTTATTAAGACTCTGTGGCTTAAACTCAACAGCTCTGTTTTAAAATACCCACTCAAGCTAGATGGTTCTAAATAGAACTAATGACAGCCAGAAAAAAAAAAAAAAGGCCTGTAGGAACTTGCTCTGACACAGAGCTGATGTCTATAAACAGACTAGTAGAAGGGAGCAGAACATCTTTCTGTCACCCTAACTTTTGTGTCTTGGCATGAAGATGCAATAAAATAATAGGAAAAAATTACCACCAACACAGCCTACCACTGTTGTACAGATAATAAGGTAAAGGAGAGTTCAGTCCGCCCTCTCTCCATATTCTTGTGTTTGATTGACTCAATTTAGTAATTAAGCATAAATATCCACTAGTTAGTGTTTGGTGCTAAAGGTTTGACTATGGGGGAAAATAAAAGACAAAAAAGACTTGGAAGAGGGAATGAGTGGAAATTTTGATCCGGGTTCTTCAAGAAGTTCAGCATAATGAATTCTTAGTTCAAACAACGACTGATAAAGCTAACTCAGGTTTTCATTTGTAAAAGAAGAGGGAATAATATGTTTTGTTTTGTTTTTATTGAAGTCTAGTTGATTTTCAATGTTTCAGGTGTAGAGCAAAGTGATTCAGTTTTATATATATATATATTCTTTTTCAGACTCTTTTCCCTTACAGTTTATTACAAGATACTGAAGACAGTTCCCTGTGGTATACAGTCGGTCCTTGTTGTTAATCTATTTTATATATAGTAGTCTGTATCTGTTAATCCCAAATTCCCAATTTATCCCTCCCCGCCTCCTTTCCCTTTTGATAACCTTAAGTTTGTTTTCCATGTCTGTGAGTCTGGGAATAACATGGTTAAAGAAATCCTGAAGCTATGTTAAACTTACTGTTTGAACTGCTGATTAATAGGCAAGAAAAAACTTTTTGGACTCTTTTTCACTTGCATCTTCATGTAAGACTTCAAAAAGGAAATAGAATAGTTTAAGAGGTAGAAGAGAAGTTAAGTGCCTAAATAATGTGCTTATCAAACATGTGTAGAGAAACTATGGGGGAAACTAGCTATGCCAGTGGTTCCCAAATTTGTTAGAATCACCTGGGGATCTTTAAAAATTTTCAGAGCTGAGGCCACACCCCAGCCCAACTATCTCACAGTCTCTGGGGGTGGCACACAGGCATCAGTTGTTTTAGAAGCTCCACAGGTGATTACAATGTGCAGAAAAATTGGGGAACCACTAGGCTACAGAATAATACTTTTTTTAATTGAAGTATAGTTGACAATACCATGTTAGTTTCAAGTGTACAGCAAAGTGAGTCATTTATACATATGTTTTTTCAGATTATTTTCCAAGATGATGAATATATTTCTTTATTCTGTTCAGTAAATCCTTGTTGCTTATCTCTTTTATGTATAATAGTATATGTCTGTTAAACCCATGCTCCTAATTTATCCCTACCCTCTTTCCCCTTTGGAATGATATATTTATCATTTAACGGTATTAATGACTATGAGATTCATGTGCATAATTATTGAATATTAATATGTTGTTTTTTCACAACTTTCCTCATTTATATAATGTAGTAATTGCTTCAAATGTTTTTTCTACTTCAAGAATAAAAATAAATATTTTAACATCAACATTATGAGCCTGCTTGTTAAAATCATACTTCCATCTTCTATTTTCATACACAACAGGAATTGGCAGCAATGAAACAGATTATCATTAATATGCATAGTAAGCGTTCTGAGGACAACTTGCTTTTTACTAAAATGGAATCCAAAACTGTGACAGGAAATCAGAAATCAAAGACTTTGAATGTGCCTAGAGAACATGAAGACAATATATTTATACCCAAACCAACACTCTTTGTAAGTACAATAAAAATTAACTTAGAATGTTAGTGTCTCTTATTTTTACTAAATATATTTTACTTAAATTTCTTTCCTCTCATAGTGGTTTCAAACTAACTTTAAAAGGTCTGTATTTATCCTTTTTCTGAATGTATATGTTACCTATCTTAACAGTTGATAGTTGGGGTTTATATTTCTAGTTAACATATCAGACTTGCCTAGGAATTAGCATTACTCTAGCACTGTCCTCCAGTCTCCAGGGACGACTTATAAATGAATCAGAAAGACAGTCTTGATTTGACTGGTTTACAGCACATATCTCTCAGTTTTCAGTAGGATGTAGCTGAGGTCATACCTCGTTTGAAAATTTTTCTCTTGTATATAAAAGAAAGTTTACTGTAGAAAAAAAAGAAAAATACAGATAAGCATAAAGAAGTTTGTTTGTTTGTTGTTGTTTTGGCCGTGCCATGTGGCTTGCAGGATCTTAGTCCCAGCCCAGGGATTGCACCCTGGGCCCTCGGCAGTGAAAATGCCAACCAGAATTGCCTGTTTTTGTCATTTTAAATTTGCATAAGAATAAAAGGGATGCAAAATATCACCCACCCCCTCTTATTTGTAAAATAATATATTTTGCTTTGAGTTTTCTTATAAAGTATAAAACCAATCGTATTAAACTGAAAAACTGAAATGCATTATTAGGTAAAAATGTATGTGCCCGGAAATTAGTCGAAGAACAAGAAATTAGAAAAATTTGGATTAAAATAGAAAATAAATTAGGAAATATTGAAAATGATGTTTTAACAAGTAATAAGAATCCAAAGGCAACAAAATCGAAATAGGAGTAACCTCATTAAATAGTTCACTTTACTTCAACATGGTTTCCCCTCCATACCTTAATTTCTCAGAAGAAACATTTCTACCATCTGAACATAGAGACTCAAAACCAGAAAGATTTTCTGTACGATAGTCTGATTCAGTGAGTCCCCAGAATCTTAATTTTTTTTTAACTCCCTAGATGATTATAATAATCAGTCAAGTATGGGAACTTCTGATCTAAGCTATTTCATTATACATTCAGAACATGCTACTCAGGATCAATGGGATGTGAGAGCTTGCTTGGTGACTACATAGTTCAACCTCCTTTTTTAAAAAAAATGACAGAGTTACAGTCTAAATGAAATAAGGGATAATTATCATAAGGATCCTTGTAGCAATACAGGCTGAGCTAACAGGATGGAGAACACAGGAAATCGAGATTGACCAGCCTGGGTACAAGGCAGCTCTATGGATTTCCACAGCTGAGTGCATGGATCTTTTCCTCTAGTGGTACTTCAGCTTCCCTTTGTTTCTCTCCTGGTGTCTGCTTACTCATGTTTTCCAGTTCCTCATCAACTTGCTGACAGCCCCTTGTCTTGAGACGTATTTCTATGCATCCTTTCCCTAATCTCCTCTCTTATAACCTAGTTCTTCCTGTATTTTCCAAAAGCAAGTTTAATTGGCCCAGCTTCTCCTTGTTGGCAGATACCCCTTGTGGCAAGACTAGTTAAGGTTATTAGCCAGCCTACTGAATGGCTGCCCTTACCTGTGACCAGGGGGTCACAGGGTACCAAAGAAAGTTGCCTAGGGCTATTTATTCAGAAGGGCCATGGCTAGGCAAGTTTCCCTCAGAAAGTCTGCTAAGATTGTGACAGACAGTGTGATGTGTCTATTATTATATTATAATCTACAAGAAGAGAGCAGACTGAATACATAGATGCTAATGGAAAACGTAGGATTGGTGGAAAACCGCAAGATACAGCCACATACTTAAAGCCTATCACACTCCCTGATCTGCTTTTCTGACCCTTCTCTGTTCCAAGCAATGAACTATTCCTTCTGACCCTGACCTCCTACATTTCTGACTTTAGCTTGGTAACCTGATTCTGATATTCTGAAATCCTGTCACCAGTACATAAGTAACAGATTTCTCCAGTATCTCGAGATAAGGTTCTGCAATGAAAAGAAAATGAAGAAGGTTTGAAATATGAAGTATTAATTGGGTAGTTTTATTTCCTTCTTTATGCTTACCTGTATTTTCTTTTATTTTTTCTATAATAAACTATCTTTTGTATACAAGAGAAAATTTTTCAAAAAAGGTATGGTCTCAGCTACATCCTAATGAAAACTCAGATATCGTGCTGTAAACCAGTCAAATCAAGACTGTGTGCTAATACTGCAGAATTAGGAATGGGAACCGACTAGGTCACCTGGGGCAAGTCATTTAAATGCCCTGAACTGGGTCTTATCTATAAAATTAGGAGGGAGATTACATGAAATGAGGGCTGGACTTCTTTTATACTAACATCCATGATTCTCTTAAGGCATCCTAATTTTTATGGTTATTATTTTCAGTATTTTCAATTTTCCATAATAGTGCTTTTCTTACGTTTTTCTCTCATTTTGTCAATAAGGAATTTATGGTGCAAATATTTGAAAATAAGATCTAATCATTACATAATCTTATGGTTTTATAGCTAAAATGGAAACATTTCTAATTTACTTCCAGATCCTTTGGCTGATATTACCTGCTGTTGGTATTTTTCCCTGATATTCAATTCAATGATAGAGAGATGGATCGATGGATGTGTGTTTATATGTGCACTGAAAATATGAGGAAGACACACAAAGCCCCTGTTAAATGGGCAGTGGGGTGAACGTAGAGCTGTGTTACAGAGGAGGAAGGGGAGAAATAAAAGCTTGAGACATTTTTCTTTACATATTTGTATAATCATGTGAACGTTTTGCAGTGCTCATGTGATATTTACATAAGAAAACCCCGAAAGGTGTATTTTATAGAAAAGCTCTGACTGTTGAAATCACAGATGTGGGAGAATTGTTTTTCAGGCATTCGATGCACCAACAAAGACTAAATTGAACCACGGAATGTAAGTGCTTTGAGGATAGAAGCTGTGTTCCCATTGCCTTACATAGCACATGATCAAAGCAGGTACTCAATAAATATCTGGTAACACAGCATTAAAAAAAAACAACAACAACAGTTATTTGCCTCCCCAGTTTAGTTATCTTCTTAGCCGTTAAAACTCTAAACTGTGTGGGGAACTTTAGTGTTGAACTAAATAAACTCCAGGGAGAGTGAAAGCAGCAACTTCCAAGACCATGGTCTTGGAAGGAAATACAAACTACTTTAAAGGAAATATAAACTGCTATGGAAATTCGAAGAAAGAAGAGATAATGTGATGTTGATGGACTCCAGGAAAAGAAAGTATTTGAGGTTGACCTTGAAGAATGTCTAGGATTTGACAAGGACAATAAGGGTTAAAGAGTGAGAAATTCCAAGGGCAGAGAGTATAATATTCACAAAACATTTTCTAATTTGTGTTCCTTTTCATTATTCAAAACTAGGATGTTTAATAATCTAGACTTTATTCCTCTCTTACTACATTCTTATGCCTGACTTCAGTCATTTCACCACTTAACCCTTTTCCTTAGGAGAAAAGGAAAATACAGTGGATAGGATATACCTAGAGTAGTCAAATTCAAAGAGGCGGGAATTAGAATGGTGGTTACCAGGGACCAGGGGGAATGAGGAGTTATTGTCTAATGTGTGCAGAGTTTCAGTTATACAAGATGAAAAGACTTCTGTGGATGGATGGTGGTGATGGTAGCACAGCAATGTGAACATACCCCATGCCACTGAACTGTACACTTAGAAATGGTTAAGATGGTAAATTTTATGTTATGTGTACTTTACCAAAAAAATTTTTAAATTTAAATTGATAGGTTATAAAAAGCAGTGTTTCTCATTATTCATAAAGAAAAGTTTATAACTTCATTAAAATGGAATTTAGCAGTTATTTGTAATATACTTAATATAATGAATACAACTCAGTGGATGTCTTAAGACACAGGGTGCCGCCCTGGGATAGCATTACCACAGAGCATGTCCTAACTCTGTGCCACCCCACATTTTTCACATTATAACACACATAGAAAAGTATAACATTTGTATGGTACACCGGGGTAAATGAACTTTGCTGGTAGATTGAAGGGGCTCCAGCCATGTCTAGGAGCTGAGGGAAGCAATTGCTCTTCATACCTCTAATGCTTTGTCACATTTGTTTTGAAGCTCTGGTCTCACTTTCTCTTTTCTTCTTCTTTTTTTTTTTTTTTTGAATATTTATTTATTTATTTGGCTGCATCGGGTCTTAGTTGTGACACGCGGGCTCTTCGTTGCAACGCCCGGGCTTCTCTCTAGTTGTGGCGCGCGGGCTCCAGAGCACGCAGGTTTAGTTGCCCCACGGCATGTGGAATCTTAGTTCCCCGACCGGGGATCAAACCCACATCCCCTACATTGGAAGGCAGATTCTTAACCACTGAACCACCAAGGAAGTCCCTGGTCTCACTTTTTCATGTTGAATCTAGATTTATCTGACCAGAACATGCTCAGACCTCAAGATAGCTAGCTATGTACATTTACATTTTTAAAAATAATTTTTCAATTTTGAGTCTCAGGAATACTAATTGCAGCCTCTTCCCGGTGTAATATAGCTCTAAGCTAAATTAGAAATAAGGAATTTTTTTGTGAGCGTGGAAGTAGAGCCGTGAGGGCTGAATGATCTGGGGCAGTTTCTCTTTTTGTCACTTTGTTGGTAGGAAAGCTGGGTCAGCTCTCTTAGACACATTTTAGTTGGGCCCTGCCTCTGAGGAATCATAAATATTTATTTCCTCAATTCCTAGCTTATATCGTTTTTCTTTAAAAAACAAGTAATTATATCTACTAGACATAGTATTTCTTTTCTTTAGAGAAGTGGCGCTGGTTGAACACTAATAGATTCTTAATTTCTAGCTCTTTTTCTAGATTCCAGGAATAATCCACCAGGCTTATTATGTCTGCATTTATCAGTCAGCATTCTTTCTCAATATGTTATAATCCCCAAGTTATAGATTAATGTTTTAGTTGCCTGCTTATGGATGACACAAAAGTACCCATCTTATCAGTTATTTATCTCCCAAATCAC